TTGATTTGCTGCTCAGAGGTTCCCAGGCAGATGGGACCAGGGCTGGCCCAGAGCTGGGTCACTGAGCCCTGCCTGATGTCAGAACTCAGGACACGTGTGCAGAGCTGTGTGATCACCTGTAGGATTCTACAAGGGTGGATGCAAACAAAAAAAATCCTCCCTGACACCAGACAGAGAAGGAGCCTTGTCCCGGCTCACACAGCAATGAGCTCCCAACGCCTCTCCCGACACCCAGCATCCTGTGAATGGGATCAGGGGCGTCTAGGCTGGCACCAGACAAGCTGTTTCTGAACAAGGGGAGCAGACAGGGGAGGGCACTCCAAGGGTGCAGGGTTGCCGGGGCTGCAGATTTCCAGGAAGGGTCCCTGGAGAAGGCAGCGCCCAACAAGCCTGGACGATGAGCCGGCTTTGAGCAGGAGGAGAGAGGAGGGGAAGCCTGGTCACCAGCGTCGAGTTCCAGCTTATCCCTCCCTCTGGTGATGCTGAGCTCGCCTCACCCTCTCCTGGGCCTCTGTCCCCCCGTCTGTAACATGGGGGCCCATGGTGGGGATTGTGGATGTGGAACGTGGCCTGAACCGTCATCCACGGGAACTGTCCCATGTGCGCCCCTGACCCCCGCCTCCTGCGCTGCTCCTCAGGTCAAGCCCTTCCTGCAGTCACTAGCACAGGGACCTGGACACCTGCGGCCACAGTTTAAAGGTTCATTCCCGAGGACCACCGGCTGCCGCCCACGCCTCCCCGCCCACCGTTCACAGCAGTTTGAAGGCGTCTCACCGAATCCCCACAGCACCGCCCACCGGGTGGTGGTGTCACCTCCACTCACAGAAGAGCCAAGGAGGGTCAGAGGGGAAGGATCTGCCTGACCCTGGAATCATTCTCCATCTGCTCCAACGTGGTGCACAGACCGACCCCTGGGGCTTTGCCAGGTCACCCACCTGGCTCCAGTCCCTTGGAGATGAGCTCTGTCCTCTGAACCTTCCCAACAGGGGAGGCAGCATCAGGCCTCAGCCTCCCCACTCTCAACAGTCTTCAATCCCCCCCACCCCCGAATGGGCCTCACCCTCTCTTCTTAGGACCATCTCACCAGCCTCCCCCTGGGGCCTCTTGGCCTCCAGAGTCTCTCTTCTGTCCCTCCACCCCCTGCCTGAGCAATCCAGGCACCTCCTTGGCTCGAGGTTTCGCTGGCTTCCTCTTGTCCAAGAAAACGGAAGCCAGTCACCTATCTGGGGGGAAGGGGGACAGCCTCACTGAGAGGAGGGGAGCCACGCAGAGAGACGCTGAGGTCGAGGGGCCAAGCCCGCCTCTCCTGGGAGGAGATACTTCTTCTCCAAAACAGCACCTAAATAATTAAACTTCTTGCTTCTATCTCCTCAAGGAGATGCTCGCCACAGACCCAGGACCTGAGGCTGGCTGACTATCATAAAGCAGAGCAAAGCCCAGGCCAGGACACGCAGGGAGGTGAAGACCACTCCACACCCTGGCAGGGGGCCGCCATGGGCTTGGGGGGCGGGCAGCTGGGGCTCTCTCTGGGCTCTGACACCAGGAGAAGCTGAGTGAGAAGGGGGTGGCCCACCCCAGTGTCAGTCACCGCTCCACCGCTCTCCGCCTGGAAAAACTACTTCCCACTGTGCAATGGGACTGCAGTCCCCGGGGGTAGCGGGCTTGGTGGGAGGTTTTACAGGAGGAGAAAGGAGGTCCCTCTGCTGGCTGAGCACTTACTCAGGTTAGGGGTGTCCACCCTCACCACACCCTCCAGGGCGAGGCACATGTCTACCTGTCACTGAGGCTCAGAGAGGCTAAGTGACTTGCCCAAGACCACAGAGCCAGGGAGTGGCAAAGCCAGGGAGTAGCAGAGCCAGGGATTCGAACTCCACGCTCAGATGGACCTGCCTTCGATGCTCTGCTGAGAATACAACAGCCTATTCTTTGGTACTTGGAATTGTAAAACTGCTTTGCTGGAAACTTTCCCAAACATGGAGCGGGCGGAGAACTGACAGCACAGAGGAGGGATTCTCACCCTGTGGAGTTCTGCCAGGAGGCAAACGGCACCACAAGGTCAAAGGCAGGAAAAGATAGTCAACAGACCCAGGATATAAGGAGCCCCTCCTTCCCGGCGTGTGCCAGCACTTACAGATACTGTCCCCAGGCCCAGCGAGGGGCGTGGCAAGGCCACATTTCACAGACGAGGACGCCGAGCCTCAGTGAGGAGGTCACCGGCCAACCCTCCGCCGCGCCCAGGGGCAGAGCCAGGTCTGGAATCCAGGCGGCTGTAAGGGAAGCACCTTTGCTGGACGTGGTGCACAGGCTGGCAGTTCTTGGTGCGGGCGAGTTCCTGCTATAAATACGATGCTGACTCCTGGTAACCCTGGCCTGCAGGCTCCCTGGCCCTGGCACAGGGCCACAGATCCTGGAGCCGACCACCTGCCGCTGCGCTCCTGCCCTGTGGGACTTCCCCGACACCCTAACAAGGTACCACATTTTTTTAGAGCCTCCAGGTTATTGGAGGCCACGTCGATTGAACTGTCTCCAAAATGAGAAGGGTCACTGCTCAGAGGAGACCCAAAGAGACCTACAAGATGGCCAGTCTCCCCACCCCAGGGGTGAGAAGGGTAGAACTTCCTGGAAGGGGCACCTGATCTGGGTTCTGTATAAACAGGGTCCCGGAAGCTGGGCTCGAATCCCAGCTCTGACATTTACCAGCTGGGTGACCTTGGACAAGTCTGTTTGCCTCTTTGAGCTTCAGTTTCTGTTATTCAGTGGAGTTTATGCTACCTGCCTCCAGGCATTAAACAGACAGTGTGTCCACAGTGGCCAGGACACAAGACACAGCAAACAGTTTGACCCCTCATTTTCCTTTCTGAGTCACAGCTCATTTATGGGTTGAATAATAAAAGCAACAGCTACAGCTGCTAACAGTGAGTGCAGCATTACTTTCAGTCTGTTACCTGCTTCAGTTACTCATCCTCACTGGGACTTGAAGAGCTAATGGCCTATTATTGTCCCCATTTAACAGATGAGGAAGCTGAGGCACAGTGCCCCCCACCCGAGGTCACCCTGGTCATGGGTGGGGAGCTGAGAACCTTCCCACTGTCAACACGAGCCCAGAGATGAGTGACCGAAAACAGGTAGAAATATGTCACAGCAGTCTCCTGGGCCCAGTCACTGCTGCACCATAGGAATCCCAGAAAGACTTCAATTTCATACAACGTGCTCTAGGAGGGCCCCCTCCCTGCACCAATAAACAGACATACACCTGTGCATCCAGGCCCTGTCTTCGCTCCTGCTGACCAGGTGTGATCACAAGCCCCGCACATCAGGGACCAAAGACCATCAGATGATATTCTGTAGGCGGGAAGCCAAGCTTGCCCAGAGAAGCCCGCCCAGCCAGGGTGGGCAGAGCCAGGATGGTGCCTCCAACCCAGCTGACCTTCTAAACCCGAAAGTGAAGGCTATGTCTCCTTCCAGCCTCCGGGCCACACACACACACACACTCGGAGCCCATTCCATTGCCCCAAAGGGCTAAATATTGTCCTGGCCTTCCTGAAATACCCATCCCCACACGGGTGGTTTTACAAGCTGCTAAAAGCAGGGCCATGTCCCTGGTGGAGGGAGAGAGCTATTCCGGGTTCGTGTCAGGTGTGGGCAGAGCCAGCCAGAAAGGGCCTGTCTGCGCCTCCCCACCCCCCCATGCTGGCTCCTTCACAGCCACGGCAGACAATTCCTGGCAGCCAGCACCGCTGGCGCCCAGCAGAAGAGGATGAGGTCAAGCCAGTTTTGTTGGTACCCCCCTCTCCAACACACACACACAGACACACACACATACGCTGTTCCAAATCTGACTCGGCCAGGCCCAGGCACTGGAGCTGTCCATCAGACACCATGCAGGGTGGGGCCACACTGTTGCCCACAACCCACCCCGAGGCCCTCCGGGGAAGCGTCACATGCCCGAGATTCTCCACGGCGGTGTTTGATGGGTAAGGAATCCGAGGGCCACAGGCGTGCAGTGGCTCGGGTGAGGAGGCCCGGCCAGAGGGGGCCAGGCAGGGACGTACCGGCCCACAGGCCTCTGCACTCCTGCCCAGGACCCTGGCACGCTGTTTCTGTGAAGACACCACTGAGCGCTCACAACACATCAGGCACCTGCAGACACTGTCACGCATCATCACATTCAATCCTCACAACCACCTGCGGGTTAGGTACAATTACCGCTGTATCCTTTCTCACCTGGACACGTTTAAGACACTTGCCCAAAGTCACACAACTTGAAAGTGAAGGAATTGTGATTTGAACCTGGGCAGCCTGAAGTACCCCCGAATTAAACTGTCTCCAGCCCCCGTCTCACCCAAGGCATGTTTGGGGAGACGTCCACATCAGAACTTGTCTTCAACTGGATGGAGCCAGGGGCCACCAGCCAGGGACACTGGCACCGGTTCCCCCATAACCCTTCCATAGACCCAGTATCTGACTGCCCGTCCGCCTGCCTACATCCCTGGCCATCTCCAACCTAGAGGATTTGGGGGCCCCTGAGGGGCCTGCCTCATGCTGGCTGACCAGACGCTCAGAACTCCCTGGAGGTCTCAGACCTTGGGAGAGTCTGATGGGAGCCATGGGTTCCCCCAGCCCCCCGCTGCCAGGTAAACGTTCGCACACACTCGTTTGCATGTGGTTCCAGAGGCTGGCACCCTGAGCCCGCCCAGGGGTCCAGCCGCGGCCCTGGCCCCTGCTGTGGGTCAGCTCCGGACCCCCGCTGACAGCCGGGAGGGGTTCGCAGCAGCCACGGCTGCCTGCTCAGGCCCCGTGGGGAAGCCGGAGTGCGGCCCATGTTAGCTGAAAGACGCGCTCTCCCCTCCAGGAGCACAGCCCCCCCAGGCATCAGGCTAGGAAGAAGGGGGTCCAGCCCCACAGCTGCCTGCAGCCTGTGGGGGGCCAGTGCCCTCGGTGACCAGTGGACTTGGCTCTGCACTGGAGCTGCGACGGGTAAATATAGCGCTGCCACTCACCGGCTGAGGGGCCCTCGCCGTCCGACATGGTGCAGGAGATGAGTGGGCAACCGGCCACGGCCCGCAGGGAGGCTCAGAGCCCTCGGAGGCTGTCACCCACCTGGTGGGGCTTGCGGCTGCCGGCCCTGCTCCGCGTCCAGTCCCCAGACAGCGTCCCGCCCCGGCAGGCCCAGCCACCCCCCCATGCTGGGCCGGGCAGATAAGAATGGGCTGCAGGCCCAGGAGCCGGCGGGATTGGTGGATAAATCTGGGCATTGCCCTCCCCTGCCCGGGCCTCTCCCGGCATCCTCAGAGTGTTGCCTGAGAAACCGTTGCACCTCTGGGGACTTGGTCAGTCTTCGAGACCCTGGCCCCAGCCTGGGACCCCAGAATGCCTGCATATTCTCTCCCTGGGAATGGTCCCACCCACCCCAGTGAGGGGCCCATATGGCCGTCAGAAGCATGTACTGGGTGCCAGGGGCCATGCTGGGAGCTGCCACACTTGTCCTTGCTCTCAGCTCCCCCAGGCAGCCACCCCTATCGTCTCCATGACATAGAGGGGCTTAAGTGACCCACCCAAGGCCACCCGGCCAGTTAGGGGTGTGACCGGAGCTGGGCTCTGGAGCCAGGCTGTCTATCTCCAAGGCTGCTGGGAGGTGTGCCTTGCCTTTGACTGTTTGGCTGGTGAAAGCAGTCAACGCTTAGGGGCGCCTCCTGGGTTCTAACTGCTCCACATGTGATGGGGGTGCTGGAGGGGATGGAGATGGACCTCTGAGAGCAGCCATGTAACTCTGTTTGGCACAGAAGGGGTGCTTGGGAAATGTTGGTTGAGACAACACAACTCAGCAAGTATGTAGCATGTGTTTGCTGTGTACCTGCCTAAGAGCAAACCCAGTCCTGCTCCTGGGTCCTCACCAGAACCCGGGCCAGAGACTAAGGCAATGAAGCAAGTGGAGGGCTCTGGGCAGAGTTCTCAGGGCTGGGCTCCGGTAAATCCCTCTCCCCACCCCACCCCCGGCTTGAGGTCTACCTGGTTCTGCATGTAGAGCACAGAGGGAGTAAAGGGACTTAAAGAGAAAGCTGGTATCAACCCCAGTCAGAGAGATACTGGAGGGCTTCCTGGAAGTGCTGGCATTTGAAATACATTTTTGAGGAACAACAAAGTTTTCTCAGGAGGAGAGAGGACATTCTAGGAAGAGAGACCAGTAAATGCAAAGGTAAGAGGTAAGAGCTTGATGGAGAGTGACGGGGCCCCTGGCAGGGGCTGGAGGCGGTAGTGATCCCAAGGAGAGAGGAAGGTTGATACTTTTGGAAAGGGAGGCATCCAGGGCTAGGGAAGCCAGAGGAGGCTTCCTGGAGGAGGGGGCAGATGTTAGTGTTAAAGGGTCCATGAGGCTCAGAAAAAATGAAATGTAGGGAGAATGGCATTCTAATGCATCCATCAGTTCTTCCATCAGCATTGAAGCCTTTCCTAGCTCAGAGACCCCGGGACTGAAGGCAGGAGGGGCCCCCTCCCAGAGAGCAAGTGGGAGAAGGGCTGTGGAGTCACACCAGCTGTCAGGGAGAACAACAAAGGAATTCAATCCCTGTGAGGTGGTTCTAGGCCTCTTTGCCTTTGCCTATGCTGTTCCCTTGGTAAGGAATTCCCTGTCCTTCTCACCAATCTCCTCCTATGGGAAGTCTTATCTGACTGCCCCCGATGGCAGGCCAGGGGCCCCTGCATGCTGCTCCACAAACTCTGACCTCACTGCTGTCAGTGCCTGGTCCTGGCTGTGTCTGCCTTTTGGTGGCTCTTGCTGTTCTGAATGGTAATGAGCTCACTGTCACTGGAGGTGTGTAAGCAGGGCTAGACAGCCACTGAGTGAGAACACAGTGGAGAGTTCAGGCATCAGGCGGGATTATGGTAAATGGCTTTGGGGCCCCTCTAGAGTGCCTGTCCTGGTTTCCCTGGGCATTCCCCTCTTTTAGCCCTGAAAGTCCTTATGCATTCTGGGAACCCTCAGTCCCATGCAAACCAGGACAGTTGGTCATCCTGGGTCCCTCCTACCTGAGACTTTTATATTAAATAAGGAAAAAAAGACAAAGCAAGACTGGAACTGTCCCTGGAGCCCTCCACCTCCTAGCCCCTTCACCCCCAGAAGTCCCCCTCCTCCCTCGTAACCACATTGATGTGATTCCAGGATCCCCAAACTGTGGGAGTGAGCGGAAACCCAGCTGCCCTGTGCCTTGGGAGGGTGTGCAGGGAAAAAGGATGCAGGTCCGCAAGGAAAGAAGGTCCCTGAAGCCTCCCCACCTGCAGAGAGGGGAGGAGTCTCACCTGCGGGGTTTGGAGGACTAATGGAGATAATGCCGTAGCATCCCCAGAGAGGGGGTGGCCAGGAGGGGGCGGCAGGGAGCCCACACACCCAGGCCTCCACTTAGCACTGTGCCCTCCCCCGGAGCTGCAGCAGGAGGGCACGGGTGGGTCTGACCTGCCTCACTGCGTGGCCTTGGGTGGGTCGTGGCTCTTCTATGTGCCTCCATCTCTACACGGATAGGGCATTTACGAACATCTCCTGGGCACCCAAGCCTGGGCCGGGCTTGAAGGCAGGCAGAACTCCACAGAGTCCCTGCCATCAGGCACGCACGGCCCCTGGGGGCCTCGCGGGCAGGGCTGATGGCCCCATCCCAAGTGTTGCCTCCTGCAGTGTGTGCTCAGGGCTCCCCGGGCTGGGCTGGATCCGCAGAGGAGCACGTCGTGGAGCTCACCTCAGGGCGTCCCCTGAGACTGCCTGAGTCCGGTCCAAGTGCCACACAGAGCTGGACAAACAGTGGGGCTGTAGAAAGACCTCCCCAGGGCACCTTGTGTTCTGGTCAGAGGGCCTCGCTTTGGCCACTGCTGGGTGTGGAGCTGCAGAAGCTGGGACAGAGGGGGAGTGACATCAGGTGGGCCTGGGTCTGATGCCAGCTCCATGGGCCCTTCTTGGTGATCAGGAGGAGCCAAGCCCCGTCTCTGTTTCTTGCCTGGAAATGAGAGGGGTGATGCCCGTGGGGGCTTCAGTGGGGATTAGCCACAGGGGGCACACCTCCTCCCCACCCTGCAGCCACTTGTCTGTCTGCCCCTGAGTCCCACCCAAATCTGCCGTCTGGTGTCCACCCAGCTGGAGCCAGCTAGCTGTGTGCAGGCCACTTCCGCTTCCTGCCCCGGCTCCAAGTCCCTTCCTGTTTTCTTTACTATGGGAACATGTGTTGGGGGAAAAAACAACTCAATTCCTCTGCTTCTGAGGTCACTGCGGTAGCCATGGGCCCACTGTGTGTGTGCCTGCGATCATGAGTGTGATAGTGTGTGGGTGAGCACCTAGGTGCATGGGAGCACGTGCGTAGAGGCGTGTGTGTGCACTTTCCTGTGTGCGCCTGACATGCATGTGCAGGGCGTAGATACGTGAGCGCGCGCGCGTGTGTGTGTGTGGTGTGTACACACGCACCTGTGCCCTCTGACTCCCCAGAGCTCATCCTGTAGCTCTGACCTTCCGGCCAGACATTTGTGTCCCTGTCATGGGCACCGAGGCCTGGCAGGGTCCTGGGTCACGAGTCTGATACCATTTCACCAGCCCGGCGGGCACCCATGATGGACAGCGGCCTGAGCAGGACATGGACGCAGCCTCGCCGGGCAAACAGGCTCGTGAAGGGCGGTGGAGGAAGGGCAGGGCCAAGTGTAGAGAGAGGGATGTGGTCAGGGAGGAGCAGGCAGAGACCCAGAGGGAGAGCCAGACATCCCGGCAGGAACCGGTCAGGTTCTGGTGGAGGAGAAGCTGCAGCAGAGAGCTCAGGGTGCCCGGGAATGGACAGCGGCGGGAGACGTGGTGAGAGGGGCGGGCGGGCTGCTCGGTCGGCCTCCACAGTCAGCAGGGGTTGGGGTGCTTGATGGGGAACAGGGTGCGGAGGTGCACATTTGTGGGGTGTCAGTGGGTCAGCTGGGGTCCTCCCTGAGCCCTCCCTCCCTGTGCAGTCTCAGGGTACGCCACTGTCCCACTTCACAGGGGAGGATGACCATGGGCCTCGCAGTGAGCACTCGCCTGACCAAGTGCCCAGCACCACTTCCTCCGCCCACCTCCTGCCCCCCCCACCTGCCCCAAGAAAGTCTGGCCCCAGAGTTCCCACAGCTCAGCCAGCCAGTGCTGATGCTGGGAGGAAAGTGTCCCAGGAGGGAGGGAGGGTCAGGGCTGCCTGATCAATGGCAGGAGGGGCATCCAAGCATGGAGGGGTCAAGGTCAAGGTCAACAAGACCCTGCTTCCTGCTGGCACCTGTTCTCCCCATATTCTCACAGAGCCCAGCTGGGTCTCAGGGGTCCCAGCAGTGACTCCCTGCTGGAGACCCCATCTTCCTGGGCCTTGGTTTCCCCCCTCCCCTGTAAACAGAGGGAGGAATGTTTCAAACAAGGAGCCTCACCTGGGGCCTTGGTGCCCATGACTTGAAGAAGGACAGTGGATGTCCCCACGGATGGACCCTCGCCTCCTGGGTGTGGGCCTGGGCAGGCCACCTCACCTGTTGGGTCAGGAGGGGGTGTGCGATGCACAGTAGGGGTCTAACACTTGTAGTAGTTCCTGCCCACTGCCTTAGGTCAAAAGGACACCTCCTTACAGCTCACGTGAGGCAGGCACACACCCAGATACACGTGGACACACATGCTGAGACCCATACACGCAGCCTCCCACGTGAGACAGAAACACAGAGACAGAGAGACATGAGTGGACACACCCATGCAGGGCACACACACACACACACACACACTCCAGGGCAGCTCTGGGAGCCCCAGGGGCCTCTAGCTGGCCCAGGCACCCTGAGCGGATGGCTGCCTGGGTGGTCTTGGGTGAGCCTCTGGCCTCCAGGCTCCCAGCCAGGTTAGGACCCCCAGAGGCCCAGCCAGCTGCACTGGGTGTCCGTGGGGTGTAAAGCGTGGGCAGCTCCTGGGTTCCTTGGGGCACTCCCTCACCTCTGGGTGGGGGCCAAGGAGCCATGTCATTTGGTGCAGTGGGGGATGGGGAGCAGCCAGCCTCCTGTTCCAGTGCCATATATAACACCTCCCACCTGGCCACGCTGGGCCAAGCTTCTCACCCCTTTGCCAGCAGACAAGGCTCCTCAGGCCAACCCCAACCTGGCTCGGGCCAGAAGACACCCCAAGGTATCCCCCGTTATCCCCCAGCCTCCAGGCCC